CTCGCCGGAGCGGGGGAGGAGCCGCCGCCGCCGCCTGCCGAGAAGGAAGGTGAGCTGCGGAGCACGGGGGTGGGAAGGGGAGGGAAGGGGGTTGGCTCCCCCCCTTCCCTGTGCTTCCCTGCCCGGGGCGGCCGGCGCTGGGGAGCGGGAATGGGGCTGGGCGCGGCCGTCCGTGCTGCGTGTGCTGGGCCGGGCTGGGGCTGCGCTCCCCGGGGCCTCGTTTCGCAGGCACGCGGGCTGTAAATGGCCGATAGCGGGGATGGCGGCGTGTCTGTCTGTGAGTCTGTCTGTCTGTGAGTCTGTCTGTCTGTGAGTCTGTCTGTGTGTGTATGTGCTCCGCTTCCGTCAGGAGCCTGTGTGGTGCCGGTGCGCGCTGCCCGCAGGTGCGCAGAGGTGTGATGGTGGTGGCGGCACTACGGGCGAGCTGAGCTGGGCGGCCGCTTCTGGTTTTAAGGAAAAGAAGGGATACTTTGGAAACCAAGCACCTTTTATTTATTGTGTGGGAGATGGGAGGATTTCATGGCGTTTCCTTGGGCAAGTGAGATTTCTGATATCAGGCACGGTCAGCAAAGAGTTTTACTCAGGTTAGAACGGGGTGGGGTCTGTAGGGAGTGATGCCTGTGCACAATCAGAAATCATTTGGGCTGATGAACCGATCAGTACATGAAGGGAACTTACAGGAAAGATGGGGCAAGACTATTTGCAAGGGAATATAGTGGCAGGACAAGGGGGAGCAGTGTCAAATTGAAAGGGAGTACATTTAGATTAGATGTTAGGAAAAAAATCTTCACTGTGGTCGGTGAGGTGCTGGAACAGGTTGCCCAGAGAACTGTGGATGCCCCATCCCATGAGGTGTTCAAGGCCGGGTTGGATGGTGCTCTGAGCAACCTGGTCTAGTGGAAGGTGCCTCTGCCCATGGCAAGGGTTGGAACAAAATTACTACAATTTATGGTCCCTTCCAACCCAAAACATCCCATGATTCCCATTCCAACCCAAATCGTTCTATGATTCCATGTTGGAGGATATGAAAGCAAACACATAGTAAAGGAAACATTTAGAAACAATCATGCTGCTCAGTGTTGATAGAAGAGATAATACTGTCCAGATATATAGGAAATAAACGTGACAGAATTATGCAGGATGTGAATTGATGTGATGGACTGTAAAGTAGCAGGAAGAGACTGTGTGGGTAAAGAAAAAGAGTCAATCATTGCTTATCATTGCTTTGAGACAAGAAAATTATAAGAACTTTTGATGGTGTGTGCTGTAGACCACAGGAGTTGGATTTGTGTAAGAATATCCCTTACTGAGAGATACTGTCAGGGATTATGTCACAGATGGATTTCTTTCTTAGACTGTAGAATCCCAGGATGGTTTGGGTTGGAAGGGACCTTAAAGATCATCTAGTTCCAGCCCTCCCGTCACGGGCAGGAATGCCATTCGCTAGACCACATTGCCCATGGCCCCGTCCAGTGGTCTTGAACACTGCCAGGGATGAGGCATCCAGAACTCTTCTCAGCAAACTGGTTATGCCCTCACCACCATCTGAGTAAAGAATTTCTTCCTGGGATCTGATCTGATTCTGTCCTCTTGTCATTTAAAGCCATTCCCTCTTGTCCGATCAATATCTGCCTGTGTAAAAAATTACTCTCCCTCTTTCTTATAAGTCCCCTTTAAGTACTGAAAGGCCACAGGGAGGTCTCCCTGGAGCCTCTTCTTCTCCAGGCTGAACAACCAAGAGGTACAGATGATGGCATTATTTAGACTTACAGTGATCCAGATAATCTTACATACAACTGCTGTCAGCTTGCCCAATAAACACAATTGCCTTCGACTTGCTCTCACGTAAAGGCGGTTCATTAGTCAGCTCGTGATCTTGGATCATATTTTTAATTAGATTAAATAAATGGAGATAAAATGGGTGAGTAAACAGGTTTGAAATTCTTATTTTAGAAGGTCAAACTTGGAAAAATCAAGAGGATTAATTAGTGATGTTGTTTGTACAGCGGGCCCTAGAAAGTAAAGAAGGTAGAAAGCTGGTTTATGCCAAAGATAGAATCCATTTGGAATTTATTTTTAAACTGGGACAATATCCAAAAAAAATTATAAAAAGCTCTATCAAAGACAACTTCTAACCACCAAAAAGGATTTTAGAAATATAGACCAGTAAAACGATAGTTAAGCAAAGTGAAAATGAAGAGGTAAATGCCAATTTAACAGTAAGAACTGGCAAAAGTAATTCTGAGTTAGTTATAGATAATTTTTTTAAGCTTCTTTAATCGTGTAAGTGAAAACAATAATAGAAATGAGACCACTGAGTGATAAAGTTCAGGTAAAATGGCCTTGGCATCATGATGCACATCATCTGTTGCAGTTTGGAGAATGCAGTGGGTAGACTTAATGTTAGATGCTCAACTTTGACCTCAAAAGAATAACCTTTTGTCTCTTAATTATTTTTTGAGGCTTGAGAAACCTCTGTGTGTCATGTCTGAATCCAATGCTCTTGCCACTTAATGTCCAGTAGCTCCAGTATCAGAAGACTGAAACAGTACATTTGGGTATTTACCAATATCATTTATTGGTAGAGGTCTCGTGCACATTCTGTTTACAGTTTTATCTCTCTCCTATAACATGCAGTATCTTCATAGGCAGACAGTGTGGAGAGTATTAACAATCAAAATTCTTAGCTCCAGGTATATACTACCTGTTTGATGTATATACATAGGTAAAGTCTGGCTATGTCAGACTCCCACACTCAGGTACAATGCCACCATGTACATCTGAAGCTGGTACATGATTTATCCTGACCTGTTGGTGTTTAAGTTCTTAAAGCTCTAATATTTTATATATTACAATTCCTTAACCTTATTAAAAAAAAAAAAAAAAGCTGCTTCTTTTGTATATTCACTGCATTATTCTGAATGGTTTTGTTCTGTTCCATGGTCAATATTTTTTTTTTAAAGAAAGTTTTTTTTTCTTTTTCTTAAACTGTATCTTTGGATTAATTTTGTTTCCCTAAAGCTTCCTCTCTCGTTGGAAGATCAAAATGAAGATAAGTTATCAATTCTACCAAATCAGTTCTATGGTAAATTAAGTTTTATGTAGAATATAAAATAGGCAAGAGCCAACAATTGCATCATTTGTATTTTATTGTGTTTCTGTATGGATTACAGGAATTGAAGTGTATTTAGAGTTTGGGTAACAATTAAGCAAAGAGAAAGAACTTTTCAAGATAATTTTCTGAGAATCTTGGATTAGCCATATCAAAATTGTGAACAGATGTTTTTCTTTAGCACCTCAGGTTAGACTTAGGTTACATTAGATTACATTAGGTTCGATTTTGATGCAGGAATGACATCTTGTTCTCAAGAGACTGTCTGACAAAATGTTTGATTATTTTAACACATCTCAAGGTCTAGAGATAATGCTCGTTATGTTTTTATTCTTTTACTGGAGAAGTAAACCAGTAATTATGTGAAAGTGACTCCAGCATCTTCCTATAACACTTTTCAGCACTTAAAGTAGTTCTTGCATTGTTTCCATGATCTGAAATACTTGTTTGCCTTCAAAAGGTATTTTTGCATGCATAGAAGGAATTGTAAATACTTTAAAATGAAAATGTGTTTTGATTGACATTTTCTTATCAGGGCTTTTCAGCTGCTGACTTTGACATTTCAGTAAGTCTACTGGAGGCTTAATTTTTTAATAAACACTACTATTTTCTTGTCTTTGTGTTTCTGTCTTTCATTTGCTTGTTATATAGCTTCTCTTTCTTTGTAGTTGCCAGCCACTTTCTTCAAATCTTCTGCTTTTTGAAGTCAAGTAGATAGATAGTCAAAGGTGTGGTATTATTTTTTCAGATTGTCTCTAGGGTTTGTAGAATGAGAAAATAATTTGGGATTTTTTTTGTTGTTGTTTCTGCTTTAAATATTTTCCTTCTGGTGGGTGATGATGATTTTTTCCACCTGCTTCCTCTCTGGTTGCTGGCTGGTCAACAATCTACCATTCTACATCAATGATGGTGGTAGACATTTCTAAAGGGGAAGAAGTAACTGGAATAGGAATGAGAAAAATGAAGAAACTTAATATGAACACTTGCTTACCATCACTTAGGATATGCATTGTGCATGTGAACCTCTGGAATCTTCAGTGGGGTCGTGTTAGAGGTCCATCCCTGGAGCCAGCAGGTGGAACTGGATGTCATGGCAAAAGAGAGGTGGTGTCTGACAAGAAGCTTTTGGCTCAAGTTTTGTCTCTGGAGATGGAGCCAATAAAGAGTTTCTTGGATCTAGCCTCTAAAGTCTGTGTTGATTTGCTTGTGTAATGAATAGGCACACAGTGGAACTTGTGTCAGGAGCAAAGAATTCACTGTCTGGTGCCATGAAACAAGAAAGGAAGGAGAGAAGATTGTACTTTAGTTGGAGTTAGAAGTTTTTCAAAGAACTCACTATTTGTTAAGGTCTGCAGTTTCTTAGTAATGGAAAATGTCACATGAGTGGAAGAATGAATGACAAGCTGAGTTCTGACAATTTATTGTCAGCACTGGATGTAGTACTGGCATTTCACTGTACATGAAGAAGGAAGGTAATTTTGAAAATAGTCTTCCTAGAAAGGAATGTGACCTGTTCAATAGGAGTACATGTTGGCAGTATTGCAGATCTGATCATTCCTGCAAAATTCCTTGGACAAGTTAGCATCAATGTAATGACTACTCTGGTAGGAAACTGCTGAGAAATCAGGACTGTCAGAGAAGGTTAAGTTCCTTTTCTAAAAGTCTCATCAAGTCCCTTTTCTCTGTGACTTTTTCTTTCTAATCTTTCCTCATCCTGTGGCTAGAATCCTTGGGGAAGAAGCTGCAGACAGACCTTTGAATCAGCAGATGAGATTCATAAATGCTCAAGTTAAGTGGGAGGAAATACTAAGTGGAGTTCTGAAAATTTTTGTTTGCTTGCCAAGTTCCTAGAGAGAGAATCTACAAGAATGTTTACAATCAGATGAGTCAGTGAACCTGTTTAAATATTTAGGGTTAAATGGTCTTGGACTGCTAATGAAGCTTGGCTACTAGAATTAGTATTTATGTTCCTTAACTCAATCTTATGTGTACTGCAGAAACATGTGTGTCTTACCCAAAGACCTATTGTGGCTGGACCAAAACGAGGGTCAAAACTTCCAGTTTCCAAGATCTAAATTGAGACTGCCAGAGTATGCTGTCCAGATTCTTAATTGAACTTGGATTCCAGATGAGAGCTTTGTGGAAGTTTAATATAAATATTTTTGGATCAAAAGGTGGTACATGTCCTCAAGAAATGGATGTTTACAATAATGATGTTTTTTCATTTAGATTTGTGCTTCAGAATTTTTGTTGGGAAATACAGCTAGTGAAAATTATAAAAGGTTTTAATTAATGAGAAATACTTTTTGTCTACCTTTTTACTTTCTAAAGTAAGTATTGCATTCTTTTTAAATGTAGTGGCTAGCTATTTTAAAGTAATATTTTAGCAGCTGTGCTCATATTACAAGATTTAGTAGACAAACAAACCCGGTGACTTGTCTGAAATTGCTTGGATATGTTTTTCTCCTGTGCCTCATTTACTCAAATATACAGTTTTTTGTCCTTTCATTTTTGATGAAAATTTTATTTTTTCTTTTCGTGACTGCATTCACAATTGTTATTTTCCTGGAGGAAAAGTCGTGCAAGTAGGCAAATATGAATCATTGCTAATATTTTAAAGGTAAATAGATAAGAATGGTTCTTAAGCAGGCTTAATTTTTTTTTCTGTCTTTATTTTCTGGGATCCCCAGGTGAATATATACACTTAAATCAATTACAGGTTTTAAGAAAGAACAGTTTTGCAGATACAGATATGTGGCACTTAGTATGTACTTTTATTAAGAGACATGAATTTGAATAAAAGAATAAACTAGCATAGTTTGAGTCATCCCACGTACTCCTATGGGGTTGCTCAAAAATGATTTGTCTGTTTGCAGAGCAAGCTGAAAATGGAGTTGCAGGGTAATTTTCTCACGTATAAGATAGAACATGTTCTTGCCTTTGAGTTGGAGGGCATGTAACTGATCTTTGTTGTTGAAGAGTCAAGGCAGAATCGTTGGGAGTCTGAAAAGTAATGAAGTGGAGCACTTTTTATTTGTTAACTGAGTTGGTTATATCCTACTGTATCTTTATACTAACAAATCAACTGTTTTTAAGTGAAACTATGCTTTTGTCTGACCAGCTGCAGTTGAAGTGAAATGCTGGAACCTGAAGAATTATGGGCATCAGTTTTGTATCAAATGGCTTGAGGAAGGAAATACAGAATTCTACGTTTGTTTAAGCTAGAAAATTCAGTTAATAATTATTCCCTTGGGGTCTGAGTGTAGGCCAAGGATGCTCAAGAAGTGGGTAACATATGTCAGCGTTGCTAGGGAGTGCTGGAAATTGATGCTGCTAAATATTGGATAGCCTTGATAATCAGTTTCACAGTAGGACTACTGGCACACTTGAAATTAAATGTTTCAGAACAATTCAGTAGTACAGGCAAAGACCTTAATTTGGGGGTTTGTTTCTACTTTAAATAGAGATAATATAGACAAAATCAACTGGCTGCATTCTTGTTGTTTGAATGAGTATGTTGAGGAAAATAAAAATTGCTTAACCACAAGAGCTCAGCGAGTTCCCACATTTCCATTAGGATGTAAAGCCTAGTAAATAGCTGTGTGTGCTTATTCAGGGCTCTGCCCAGCTGCACAGGCAGAACTGTCTGGTGTCATTTAGTTCTTAGCTGCTGCTCCAGCTTGGCATGGATGTGTGGGTTCTGTATCATATCTGCCAGCACCCTTTTGGTGTCAGGGATCCCCAAGGTCATCTCAAAAACCAGTATGTGCTGATGTGGAGGCAACTGAGTCAGTCCTTTAGTCTGTTCTAGTTGAAGCGGAATATAGCTTAGCTTCCAGTTTCAGTTTGGTTGTGTGTTTGAGCCCTTAAGCTCAATGTGGACTTTCACACATGAGCTGAATTCTTCATTTAGTGTCTCAAAATAGGTGTAAGAAATACACTGTGTGTGTGTAGATTTGTGGGTTTTGTTGAAGTTGTGCATATTCAGTACGGACAAGCTGCAGCAGTTGTTCAGATTTTTATTTATTTCAAGAAAATAATTTTATTTTGTTTATTCAGTAGATTACATGTTGAATCATTAACATTTATAATACTTAAGTCATACTAATTTCATGTATTTTATGTAATTGGATTAGATCTTACAGCATGAAGTCTTACATAAGAGACATTTTTAGTAGTTAGTTAGGTAGTTTTATGCCTAACTTTATGCCCAAGTTTAGGTAGTTAGTTACATTTGATACTTGTTTTAATGCGGTATTATTCTAAAAATTAACTCAGTAAAATGGTAACTTGTTTTGTTGGATGTTATTCTGCCTGATGTCAGAATTTTACAGACATGTAATTTTATGTGTGAAGTAGACAGATTTTTAACTATGTCTGAACCAATGTACCTCAAAGAAAATTATCTGTACAACTTTCATCATTATTCAGCTTCAGAACTGCTTCTCACTTTTGTAGTTTTATTGAAAACAGAGTTGCATGGCTTTATGTTAGGAAATAATTTTGGGGTAGTAGAGTTGTGCATATTTGTGGAGAAACATCTGGTCTGAAAATCTGTTTCTGTTGATAATGTATGTCATAGAAATGATATAAGTAATTTACAGTGCTGACAATATTTTCTGAAGCAGAATGAATTTTTTAGCAGCTCTCAGTAAGCCTGAAAAGACACAAATGTTTTTTTTACTTTGGTTTCAGAATGGAACTGAAATAAGTACATTTGAAGGCTTAAGCCAGAAATTGAATTCTCTTAGCAGTGTGCTTTTTCTTTGCTGAAAGAAATGTCTTAAAGCGTTATGTCAGAAAGGTTCTCAATTTATTTTTACTGCAATGAAAAGACATTGGAGTATGGTGCTCATAAAACATCTGTCTTTCCAATCACAATCTGATTAATTTTCCTATTTGTTTTAAAAAACTGTTTTGTTCAAGAGCTAGTATTTTAGGTAAGAATACAGAAGAGCAGAGTCTGCCTAACTGATCATTGTACAGTTGTGTATAAAAGCAAAACTGAGAGACCTTTGTGTTTCTTGTTTTCTCACCCCACAGAAGATAGTCCTGGCTTAATATTAAGTGCTTAGGTTCAGAAAGTATTGTTGCAGCAGTATGATATGATGATTTTAACCACAGTTCTCTCTCCGCAGGGGGACACAAGCACAAATCCCTATGGAGGATGAACCTCCTCCTCAAGGAGTCAGTGCCAAGGTCAGAGCATCAATTTGTATTGGAAATTCTGTACTGCTCTGCTCAAAAGGTTCCATTTTGCAGTAGCTTAGTACATGCAAGTACTTTTCAAGGTAGGCAGAAAACAAAAGCTATAGGTAGAAGAAAAGATACCAGCTGAAGAAATCTTGCTTAAGTCATCCACAAAATATTAGAAGAAAAATATATTCATATAACATCTGAGATTTATGTCTAAGTCTGCTTTTCATGACTTCATGATGTGCAATGTAATGAGGGAACTGATCACTTACAGGATATAAATATAGATATGCTAAGAGTTGAAGGTGGTTTTCATATTTTTGAAACAAAATATAATGGGGAACTGTGTGAGGGGAGAAAGTCTTGAAAAGTGGAAGAATATATCTTACTGATTTGATTGTAACTAATAATTCCAGAGACAGGATTTAGATTATCAGTTTTGTCTGATAAAGTTTAGGTTCTTTCTTTTTTTTCTTCTTTTTTTTTTTTAAAGATCAGTATCATAGGTATTTCCTTGGGTGCTCTTTATAAGAGTAGTTGAGGATTTTTTTCTTTGCTTTAATTTTAGTGTTAAGAAATGCTACATTTGGGGTGTTTTTTAAAGCTGCTAATTATGAGGGTAGGACATGAGTGCTTTGTAGAATGAGGTTACAGAAAAAACAACTTTTCTCTATAAGATGAATTGGTTCTGACCCACTGAGCACTTGGAATTTAGAGCCCACATTATAAAGAAACTGATACATTATTCCAAATAAAGGAATCTGTAAAATTGAAGGACACTCTGACTGTCCTTTTGAATTTCAGACTTCTTCAGTCTTGAGCAAAAGTGGGATGAAGTTTTGTTGATGCAATTGGAAGAATAGTCTGTGATGCTTTCGGTATTTATTATCATATCTTAAGATGGCCTAAAATTCTCTGTAGAATAAATGATAACCTCTTGACATAAAAGAATTTTTTTCTGCAAACAGCAGATGAACCAGGACTGGTTCCATATGGATTCTGGTCCTCTGTCCCTGATAACCCTGCTACTTGTCACAGGCAGCAGTGTTTACTAGGATTAGCTTGGACCTACTTGCTCACTGACTTATTTCATAACATAATGTCTGTTTGTCCAGCTGCTTGCTGCCAAGCTGATTGTGTCAGCAGAATCCTACTTCCCTTTCACTTGCAAATTTGGCTGAAGTTGGTCAGTTATTTGCTGCAAGGAGACAGGGAAAGAACTGGTGTGATCAAAACCGCAACTTTTTTTCCTGTGAAGATGGCCAATCCTCCTTTCCCCTCCTCCGAAGTGTATAGTAAAGAAGCGTGTGATTAGCTGGTATTTGTCTAAAGAATTTAATTTAGGATTAATTTAGGGTTTCAGTTTTGATTTTCTAATGTTATGTATGTTTCTGTTTATATTTTTTTCATAATCAGTGATACTAATTGAAAAAGCAATATTTTTGTGGCTGATATAACATGTTTCAGATTCATACAGTGAAAATATGACCTCACCATTTAACCTCTTGCATGGTACTTTTCTCCATGAATATAGATCCTTTATTTCTAGATCATGATATATTTTTTATGTTTATTTAATGTCTACCTTTCAAATATTGTTGTAGAATTAAAATACTGGTTTGCAGCTGAAAAAGGAGATGGTAGTGTTTATGTAATTTTTCACTATGCAAAGGCATATATTTCTCTCTGTGAAGGTATTTGATAGCATTTTTTAATAATACCAGGCCTTGGAGGCAACACTGTTGTCAGCCCTGAAGATGCTGGATGTTGGGAAATGGCCGATTTTTTCTCTCTGTTCCCCAGAAGAGATCAAGTTAATTCGTCAAGCCTGTGTATTTGGCAGTGCTGGTAATGAAGTGTTGTATGCAACGGAAAATGATGAGGTAATTGTCCAAGAATGTGTATGATGTGTTTAATCAGTTTTGTATCAAGTTATTCTGAAGGTCAGTAGTATAATAATACACCTAGAGAAAGTTGCATGCAAAAATGTCTGATGGATTTGTTTGCTACTGAAACAATTTCAGTTTAAATTAAATGTTTCCTCCCACAATCAGAGAACAAAGAGAAGATGGAGTTAGACATTTGTTGAAAGTACATAGTGACAGGATGAGAAGCAGTGGGCACAAACTGCAAGATGGGAAGTTCTGATTCAGTACTAGGAAAAAATTGCCATAAGAGGGATTAAATCCTGAAGCAGTTGTGGGATTTGTTTTCCTTGGACATGTTTAAGAATCTTTCGGACATGGCCTTGAGTTGACTGATCTGTTTAGGTCTTTGTTGAGCACGAGGGTGGACTAGTTGACCTTTGGGGGAAGTTCTCCATTGCAACCTAGTTATGAGTCTGTGATTCTTTTATAACAGGTTTTTGTGCTTGGCATGAACTGCAGTGGCTGTCTGGGAACAGGAGACATGCAGAGCACTATAGAACCAAGGAGGTTAGATTCCCTGTGTGGCAAAAAGATAGCCTGCCTGAGTTATGGAAGTGGCCCTCATGTTGTTCTTGCTACGGAAGGTAAAGTATGGTCTGAATATTACTTTTGCAGAGAGTTAAATTCATCCAGCAGGTGTGAAAGGTCTGGGCTGGTATTCTGGGCTGTTAAGTCAAATGTATTTTAATTGGTAAATATGGCATGTCAGCTAGCTTGTTAATTTCAGAAGTTTTTCAAGTCCCACTTTGATCTTGTTACTGCTTTTGGAAGGGTTTTTTCTTTCACTTCTCAATTAAGTTTGAAACTTCTGATTGCTCTTGAAATGCATTTGTGGCTACATTATGCCCCTATGTTCTTGTGCCAACACTGTCCTTTAGCTAAAATGCATCTTTTCCCTCCAGTACCTACTTTTGGATGTGCTATAAAGACCCATTATGTTGTCTCCCAGCCTTTATGATTCCTGCACTGACACTCTATTATCCACATTGTGGTAGTGGCTTTTATATTCATAATTAAGTACTTTACTCTTGAGTAAAAATTACTAATATTTTGTTCCCAGTGAGGTTCTGTTAGAGCCTAATTGATGATATTCACACTTACCTGTCTCTGTTAATGAGAGGATATGTTTTTCAGTATTCCAGATTATGAGTAAAAGTAGGTGAGGACAATTGTGTTGTAAATGTGTTCTTTTTCATTCAGTTGTGTTCCATCATTTTCTCTAGTCTTCATGCCAGACCATTCTGCATGCTTTTTTTTATGTATGCATCTGTATTCCTCTGAGCTTTGTTACTGGCATGTCCCACTGATGCACTTGTACTCCTTAACCTGATGATGGGGAGGTGCTGCCAAAGAGCAGGGTCCAGAACTGATCCTTGATGGCTTTTTACTCATAACTCCCTTTGCATTAATAGCTTTTCTTCAGCACAGCCTTTTTTAACTTACCTTTTAGAGGGCTGCTCTATGTTACACAATTCCTGTGTTAATTATTGTCATTTCCACTTTGCTGTATGTTTCTGTGCCGTGTGTTTCACATGCTTACTGAAATTTTTATTCACATGTTGGTGAACTGAGGAAGAGGTTGTTCATATTTGATAGGATAAAGTAATTAGGTTTGACCAATTATTGTAGAGAAGTATTGGTTTAGTGCAGTAGGTATTGCCTTTTAATTCTGAGAGAACCCTTCTTAGGGAATATGCATATGGTAAGGGAATGAAAGCTTATTATTGGAATTTTCCAAAGTGGGAAACAATGCAAGGGCATAGACAAGGGATTCTGATTGATTGTCAGTAACAAAAAAATTGAAATGGGGACTCTGACTGTCATTTAATTATTTTCTTTTCTGTATTACACCATCCCCTTTCTTGCAGCAGTTTGTTTTCCTTTACTATGATTATGGTGATACTATCCTTTTGGCTTGAAAAGTAGAGGTTTTTTCAACCAGCTTTTTACATTTTTCTTGTAGAAGGAGAAGTGTATACATGGGGTCATAACGCTTATAGTCAGCTGGGCAATGGTACAACAAATCATGGGGCAATGGTACAACAAATCATGGTTTTGTTCCCTGTCAAGTCTCTACTAACTTGGTGAACAAGAAAGTCATTGAGGTTGCCTGTGGCTCTCACCATTCTATGGTGTTAACATCTGATGGAGAGGTGAGTGCAGTGAGAACCATTATCTGTTTTCTTTTAGTGAAACTCACATATGTGAGAAACAGGAAAACACTCTGCACCTATAGCATTAGACCTTGCTTCTTGCAATCCTCACAGGGCTGATTAACAAAAATGTTTTAAAAAAATTGAAACTTGTGAGGGTGTAGCTGTTTTGAAGTGTGTGCAGAACACTGATTTTGTGCCACATCTGCTTGTAATAACAAATTTTGCAGCCAGCTCCCTCCTATGCTATACTCTACCTTAAATGCTTAATGGCATTAAAGCTGATATTAATGTAAATCACATTCACTGTAAGGAATTTTACCTGCCAAAGTAAGAAGTTTCCTGGAAAGTAGCAATAGATTCTTCCAGCATTAACTGCAGTCATCATGTTTCCTCTTACCTTCGAGTGGAGGAACATAAAAGAATGGAATATATAAATATTAAGATAGGCATATTTTTGTTAGAAACAGTTCAGTTGTAAACCTATGTGTCTTCCTAGGTCTGTAAAGCAATACATCCACTTTCATATAAAACATGAAATTTTTTATTTATATGGCTTTTTCATCTCTTGAATATGTACTTTGAATATAATATATATATATAATATATATATATTATATATAGTATGTAATAAAGCCGCCTTTGGTGACAATTCTTTTGGAACAGGTATACACATGGGGTTATAATAACTCAGGCCAGGTTGGATCTGGTTCAACAGCAAATCAGCCAATTCCTCGAAGAGTTACCAGCTGCCTACAAAATAAAATAGTTGTTAATATAGCTTGTGGACAGATGTGCTCTATGGCTGTGGTGGAAAATGGAGAGGTAAGAAATTTCAAGTGAATATTTGGACTGAATTTTACTTCATGTAATAACTTGGCATGTAGGTAATTTCAAAGCTGGTAGTAATGAGCTGTTATTCAGAAAGGAAGTTTACCTTTCCAGACTCCCTCAAGTCTATCTGCTTATAATGCTCATAAAAACCTTTGCTATTAAACAACTGCTGTCTTTAGCATTCATAGACAAGTAAATTATTGTCTGTACTAGAATCTGAAGTATTGTGTGTGAGGATGATCAGTGAATGTGAGAATAATCACTGAATGATATTTTAATTTTTAGTGCTCATATTCACACCTCTTAAGAGAAAATAAAAGTACATGCCATATATTTGTTGTACTGGAGTACCTCTTGAATCTGTCTTATACTTTTTTATCCTTTTTGCAAGGATACAAGGAGGTTGTAGAGTTATTGATTTTGTTCATATGAGCTGACGATATTGGGCAGTATACATCTTGCTAGCTCTATTTCTCCAAACACTTGAGTTTAGAACTGAGTAGCTATTGACTGCAGTAAAACATACATCACTGAAATTATCAGAGTTCAGTATTTTCTCTTTTTCTTATGTTTGGCATAAAGCTGCCTACTCAAACTGTTGTGCACAGCTTCCATTATATACTTGTTCTAGTGTGTTTCCTGTTGGAAGATTTTGGAATGACAAATCAGCTCTTTGAAAAAGGGAAGTATGCTGGATTTACACTGTGCTGGCAAGCAGCCATATGAATCACTGATTTTCTGTTCTTCATATTAAAAATATTGTAGTCCTACATAATCTAACTCCTAAAGAGAATGAATATGGAAGTTAAGAATGCTACATGAGCACATAACTGGCATTTTAAAGAAAAACATGCATGTGTATGTATGTGTTTATATAGATAGGTATATGTGTGAATATGTTTGTGTTTACCTAAAACAAAAAATAAAAGAAGTGAGAAGAAGCAGCAAAGAGCTAAAAGTCCCTGTCTCTGTTTCAAGGTCTATGTCTGGGGGTACAATGGGAATGGCCAGCTGGGGCTGGGCAGCAGCGGCAACCAGCCCACGCCGTGCCGGATCGCAGCCCTGCAGGGCATTCGTGTGCAGCGGGTACGTCTGTGCTGCTCCACCCCAAACCCTCCAGGAACCTCTGCAAGAGTCCTATAGGCAGCAACTGAAGGAGACAGTCCTTTGTTTAAAGGGACATCAGAATAAAAAAGCATGTGTCCTAAAATGGACCTCTGTCAACAGGGGAGAAACTGTGGAGTTCAGTGGGAATTTTGCCATTGAATTCAGTGAGGTCAGGATTTTACTTAAAGAGGACTAGACTGTTAGAAATGTTTGTTTTGTTTTGTTCTTTTTTTCCTGTGAAAGTTCATTTTAAAAATACTGCTAGAGTCTTTCTAGGATATTCCATTCTTCATTAACTTCTGCCTTTTTTTTCTGGAAAAATGCTGCAGTTTAGCATTTTGTCTGTCTTGCAGACTGAATTTCGTTTTAGAACTGCACTCCAGCCACAGTGGCTTACTGGTGTTTGGAGTCTGAACAAATTGCCTCCCACTGCATTTGACTAACATGTGGTATGTTTCCACAGTTAGTCTTGACCTTTGGAGATTATTGGACTTCACCAAATAGTGGGGCTGCCACTGGTGTAACTAGCAAAATGATAACTTCTTTTGGCTAATAAAAAATACTTAAAGTGACTGCAGGACTGATACCAAAAGTTTTTTATTGATTCATGCAAAATAGAGGATACTGTCAGGAAAATGAACAAGCTGTTAGAAAACATTGATTTTGTAACCTAGTGAAAATTAGCAAGAGCATTTTGAACTTTGGATCTTATTTACTGCATTTACTCAGGAAAGCTATGGATTTTTGAAGTCTTTTAAAAGAAACTCACTTAATGACATAATTTTACATTCAGTACCTAGTATGTAGACAGTAGCTTTGCTGGTAGCAACTACTCCTGGATAGTAACATAATAAGTATTGTGTTCCCTGTATTTATTCTTCTATTTAGAGAGTAAATGCTCCAGCAAGTTTGGCTTAGATTCTATTTCCATCCACTTCATTTACTTGATATTGATTAATACAATGTTGTAGGTCTCCATTCAGTAAGTAACTTGATAGTTTATTTCATTTAAAGTACATCACATACTTCATGGATGTCAGTGGAGTATATGTGTTTATGGTGTATATTTGCAGATCATATGAAGATAGGTGAGCTAGTTATGAGCAATGTAGATTGGGTTTTGGTAGCCTTCTGTACTAAGTTACGGTAACTCCTGCAGAGCAAGACTGTTGCTGGTAGTGTTGCCACTGTGTATCTGTCTGTATGTGGGGCATGTGCTGCATATCTGAAGTGAATTTTTTCAACAATCTGATGTGAGGAGGCAGCTCAGCAGGACCGAGGGGTTTCCACAAGGGGTTATGAGTTGACAGAGTTGTGTATCAAGTGCCATCAAAGTGGAGAGCTTTGTCTCTTCCCTCTCTTTCCTGGCTGATTGCTCTTGTTGCTTATCTTGTGTGGTTCTTAGACTGTACTGTGAGAATTTTCTTCCAGAGTTGCAAGTTTAGAGAATCACAGAATAGAGTGGGTTGAAAAGGACCCTAGAAACCATCCAGTTCCACCTCCTGCCATGGACAGAGATGCCTTTCACTAGGCTGGGTTGTTCAGGGCCCCAGCAAATCTGGCCTTGAACACTTGCAGGGATGGGGAGTTATCTCAGCAGAGGGTCCTCTGGGCACTAGAGCTGGCACTGGGAGGGAGCAGTTTTGTGTCAGTCAGGGCTGAGAGGATCAGACAGGGAGACCTTAGCTGTTTTTCCAGTGGTAAAGCTGTTTATATTGGAGCAGTTGTCCATGGACCAAGGTCATTGCAAGACAGACAAACTTCATGTTTCTGCGTATTGTTCAAATTTGTCATATAGCTTTCCTTCTTTCTTAGTTTCCAGCTGTTCTTTTTGCTCTGCTCTTGAGATTATCTGTCAAGGTTTCTCATTGGTAAATTCTTTTCCTTGAAGTTACCTCATCTACTTTCCTTCCATTTTTAATAAACTTACTCGTATTTGTAATTTTTACAATAGTCTAGAATTAATGGCTTTAACCTATAGCCTAAGATGCATCTATCTGAATTAACTTGCAATTACATAAAAATGAGATTTTTCTTCTTTTTATTATTCCTTATAGGTTGCCTGTGGCTATGCACATACATTAGTGCTAACAGATGAAGGTCAGATATTTGCCTGGGGAGCCAATTCATACGGCCAGTTAGGTACTGGGAATAAAAGTAACCAGTCTTACCCTACAACAGTTATTGTGGATAAGGACAGGTAATACTTACAGTCTTGCAATCAGACATTGGTTGACATACTCACAGAAGAACTACATAAAATGATGGTATTTTTAATCTATTTTTTGGGGGGAAGGAGCCTATAATTTTTTTGCAATGGTTCATCTGATAAATGTGAAGAGGATTTTCACTGAAAGTGCTTGAATCTGCCTCATAACCATCCCTGTGAAAGAGAAACTGAATATTCTGAGCCTGAATATGCTATTTTCTGCTTTGGCTCACGCTGTACTTCACAGGCCTTAATTGCAGTTTCCCTTCAGTGGTGTAGTTTCATTGCTTGAAATCAGCAATAAAAGCTTTATTATCTGTGAATATAAATTGTATTTTAATATGCTACTTTTGGCAAGAAGTGCACTCAGAAAAAGTGAAGGGTGGACATCTGCAATTTGTGTCATTTCTGCTATTAAATCTGGCTTATAACCCAGGAGACAGAGAAAGGGAGGAGTTCTTTCTTGGTATTGCTGCCTAAAAATTAAGCTTTGATTTTTGCAAGTTAAATATTTTCCTCTAGCTCCTTGAGGGATATTTCTGTTGCTGTTGTAAAGCCATGTATGTGTATGGTAAGAAATCTGGATTTTGGGCTCCTGTTGTGAATAGGAAGGAATATGTCCCTCTTAATTCTGTGTCTGAGTACATCAGTGTGAGAAACTGGCATCGCTGCTCTGGTGATGAGACATGGCCTGATCTTAAACATTGCTATTTCTTTGTGTGTATTTTTTGCTTCAGATGTTACTGATTTTCTTTTTTCCAAACACTTTAGCCACGGTTAAAATGTTACAATAATAATTTAATACAAGTTTTATTGTTGCATGCTGCCTTTGCCTTTTGTTGGTCAGAATATGAATTCTTGGTGTCAGTGAAAATATTACTTCACTGAAGCCCGCAAGATTTGTGCATACAGCTTTAAACAAGTTGTTTCCCTGCCATTATCCCCAGGCAGCTGAGAACACAAGTAAACAAGCAGACTGCAAAACAGTGGATTGTGTAATGCTGTACACAGTGGGAGTTTTGAAGTCCTAAATCAACCTTAGGATTAGAGACATAGCCTAGCTAAAAGACAGTTAGAAACAGCTTTAAGTGCTGTTTGGTTCTAAATTTTAATTTTCAAAATGCAAATCCTTTAAACATAAGTAATAATAATTCTATGAGTAGGAAGAAGTATGTTTAGGTTTATAATTGTTACCAATAAGCAAACAGAAAAAAGACTTTCATTATCTTCTAGTTATAAGCCAAAATGCAATTTTAATTTTTTTTTAGTGCCTCCTCATTTCCTTCTTCATCTTCTCCAAGTATTTGTTCTCTATGGCTTAATACAGCCACTCACCTCACTGCCCAGCACCACTAAGGACACTCTTTTGCTTGGGAGAGCTGAGGGGCCAGCAGAGCATGTACTGCAGCAGATACAGGGCTCTGCTGCATCCCTGGCTGCTCGCTCCCAAGATGCTTTTCCAAGGAGAAACTTGGAGTGCATGCTGTTTGCAGAAACACTGCCAGCCCCTTTGGTTTTGCTGTGTGTGACCAGAAAGCATTCTTGCTTACATGCATGCTTAAAAGTACGTCTTGCACTAGAGAAAGACAGGAGGCAGTGGGCTTACTCACTGCATTTTGTTCTTAATGGGTGTGCCTTGCTTTTTTTCCCTTTTTGTTTGCTTGTAAATTCAGAGTTATCGAGATCGCCGCGTGCCACTCTGCGCACACGTCGGCGGCCAAGACCCAGAGCGGCCAGGTGTACATGTGGGGCCAGTGCCGGGGGCAGTCCGTGACCTTCCCCCACCTCACCCACTTTGCCTGCACTGACGATGTGTTCGCCTGCTTCGCCACCCCTGCTGTCATGTGGCGCCTGCTCTCCGTAGGTGAGCTGAAATATTTTTTTATTCTGACACCTTCCAGGTAAAATCATCAGGTCATAAAACTGTTTGTTGCATCTCTTTGAAGCCTACACGTTGTTTGTCACAAAAATTTACACTGGGAAGTGTAGTCGTAATGGTGTGTTACATATGTGAGTGGTAATATGGAATAAAGAATTGCTAAAGCCTGATGGCAGTGCTAAATAATTGTCTGTTTTATTGATGTGACTTATCTCTATCAGGAAATGCCTGAATTTTGGGGAGGATTTTTTCTGTAACCTCTGTATGTGACTGTCCAGTGGCTCTGGATAGAAAAACTGAGTTTGAATTTGGAGATTTGAGGAAGCCATGCAGAACATTTAGGAGTTCTGAAGCTTTCTTTGATGCCTTTAAGTAGAGTACTAAGAATTGCCATGTTCTGAATTTGCCACAAGCACTCAGTCTCATCACAAGTGAATCATGACCTGGTCTTCTGAAGAGATGAGTTGCTGGATCTCAGATGTTTGATTAGCATTAAGATCTGTCTTGATGGCTTTGATGAGAAAGAGTTAAGTATACAGCACTGGTACCAGAGAGCTCGTGCTTCAGCTACAATTTAATCTGATAATGGTTTGTAATGAAATTACTGGGGTGTTGTTGGAGTTTCTTTCCTTGGTTTGTTTGGGTTCTTCTTGTTGTTGGGTTCTTTTCTTTGTTTTGGCTTCTTGTGGGTTTTGGGTTTTTGTTTGTTGCTGCCCTTCTTGGGGGGTTTGTGTATTTGTTTATTGTGTGGTTGGGGGGGGCGGAGCTTAGGGTTTTTTGACCTTGACTTCTTGGTCCCTTTGGAAATAGCACCACAACACTGTAGCAACCTTGTACCAAAGCATAAGGTGAAGCCTCATAGGAGAAAAAGGTTACTTTACTTTTAAACAAAACAAGTTTCATACACACTTTCAAAGCCACTTCTTCATATGTGCCAAGTATTCTCTCCAGCATCCTGGCACTATTCGGGAGGCCTGAGCAGGGCTCCTTGTGATGACACAGGATAAAGGATGCTGGCTGTCAGGCCCTTGCCTTGTCTCCTGGGTCGTTTTTAGTTGTGTGACTCTGCTGGTTTCAGCTGTGCCTTTTTGCACGCTCCAGGAGCTGAGGGTGACTGGCCTCCTCATCCTGTCCCACCCTGGCAAGCTGTCAGGACTGACTCACTGTTATTTGTCATCTGATGTATGCATGGTGAGAATCCTCAGGCAGCTGTGTCCTGGGATCTTACATCTGCTGACCTACATGCCATGGACATCTGCCATGCTTACAGCCCTTCTCCGTGCTTTTTATTCTGGTGCTTCCACACCCAGGCATTCCCATTCTCTCCATATTTGTGGCAGTTCTAACATTTCTAATACAATTCTTAGAACTGGCTGCTAAGGAGTTTTCTTGGCTTTGTGCCTCCTCAGTGGGAACTGCCTCTTCATTTCCTTCCTCAGGTTCCTTCTTCACTGCTGTAACAAATAAAAGCATCTGGTTTCCCTCTAAGAGTTTCAAAGCTGAACCCCACTATATTCAGTTTTCCTCTGATGGCTGTAGAAGTCAACTGCAAATGTGTCTTGGTGGACACCTGGATTGCCAGTTAACTTTGAAGATGTGTTTCAGCTTTGCATTTGCTCAAATGCTTACTTGTTTAGCTAGCAGAGGTCTGAGCAAATAAACCACACACTGTACAAAATAAGAACTAATAAAGTATTTTACAGTATCATTGTTTCAGAAATATTTATTTTTACCATTACTATATTGAATTTCTTTTCCCTGTCCATTTTATCAGTGCCTACCCGAATTGTGTATACCTGATATTCTCTAAATGAAATGCAAAATTACTGTGCTAAACCAAGGGTAACAGTATCAAAGTGTATATGTGTGTTAAGCTTTTTCTAGAGCTTGTGGAGAAAGTCTTTCCATTTCCAGCAGAATACTATTCTAATTTCTAGCTTGATAGGTTACAGGACCTAGCATTTATGTAATTTTCTGTAGAGAACAACTAATTACTGACCCACAAAAACTCTGTAAACCCACAATGTGTATTTATATGGTAAGAAGACAAAATGTTGTCACAGTTAAGAATGAGATTTGGGGATGGAATGGGTTGTTGATTTTTTTAGTAGTATTGAAGAAAACAGTTCTCTGAGGCTTATGTGATGGAGATTTGGATCAGTTGAGGAAGTAAAAATTTTGTATGCAGATAATGGATGACTTTTCAAAGATTCAAATAGATTACATTTGCTGTAATGTCTTCTCATGATAGCATTTCAGAAAATTTTATTATTTTTTTATTGATCTTTTGAAGATCTTATAGTAACTAACAGTTTTAAGTTGATATACTCAGTAATGGTTGATAGCATTTTCTATCATATGGAGCAGTAAACTTCTGAGACTGTTAATGTGTTTTTTTTCTGGCCTTGTATAGATGAGTTAGAGTGAAATTCACTGATTTCTTAATAGAGATATTTGCTTGGAGCAAGAAGCTAGAAAGGACTGAAGAAAGCTGTCCTTTCTTTGCTTTTCTGGCCCATACAGAGCACATAGGCTTCTGGGAGGTTTTACTAGCCTTAAGGAGATGTATTTATTCAGAGTGTTAATTGCTGACAGATACCCAGAATATTGTAGTGGGAGATATTTGTATTGCTTACTACTTTATATAAGTCCTCTATTTATTCTAGAGCCTGATGACCATCTAACAGTAGCCCAGTCACTAAAGAAGGAATTTGACAACCCTGAAACAGCAGACCTGAAGTTCCTAGTGGATGGAAAATACATTCATGTTCATAAAGTTCTTCTCAAAATTAGGTAAGGAACAAACGTATAAATTGTATAAACTAAACAGTGTAGTGTAGTAGTACACTGTGCTGAGTCATCACTGCAAAAAGAATCTTGACTTATTCTTAAAAATTCCCTTTTCCCTGAGCCAGGGATTCATCTGCTGTTCTTCACTGTTACTCTCTTTGTAATTATCAAACATATTGCTCTACTACCTGCTTTTCCATCACTTCCCTCCATCTGACATTTATCCTCCTTTGTGCTCCTAAATGGCCTTGACCTTGATTTCCAATAACCTTTTTCTGCCGAGGAAAAGGCTGTCTTACTTCTGCTATCTTCTCAGTAGTTAGAATCAGTTTTTTCCTCCTTTGTATGCTTGGTTTCCTCCACCAGAATGATTTGAGGATTGTGTTTATTCTTTACACTCTTTGCTTCCACAGGACCCTTCAGTTGTTTCAGCAACTTCTGTAGGTGCTATCCCAATGATCTTTTTTACCCTTTTATGACAGATTTCTTGTTCCATGTGTTTTAAACACTCTTATCAGTGAGTTTGACTTTTAAGTTGGCATTTTTTTTCTGTTTCTACAACTTTTTGCAAGTTAAGACCACTTTATGGTGACATTTGACATAAGCAGATCTACAGAATGATCTCATTGTTATTAACATGCACAGAGATTAATTTGTTACTGCTGATGTGATTTCTCCTGTGATATTCTAGAGGCACTGCTTTAGATCTCTTCTACCTTGCCACCTGCTTCTGGTTCATCCTCCTCATTGTTATAATATTGTTCTCTCTTTGCTATTTTTTTCTCAAAATGCTTGGCTATCTCACTCAGCTTATCACCACTTCTTCCTACTTTTGCTCCTAAGTCCTGTAGCTGATTTCTTGCATATTATTGTGTAAAATTAAAATTCCCTATTAATTCTTGCCTGACCTTGTTTTGTTGGGGATTTTTTCTGCTCTTCTCTTACTACTCTGACTGCCTGCATTACTTTTGTCTTCCCTTTACTGGTTTCATTGCTTGTACATTACACTCGTGCCTATGGTCCAGCCTCTTTATTTGGAATGCCATGTATTCTCCATCAGATACCACACCAAATCTTGTGTATGCCCAAAATGCTCCTGAGGTTCCTTGTTCTGATAATCAGACTATATGTAGTGTTCCCTTCTTTCCTTTTTCTTGCTCTACTTTTCTCAGATTATATGGCATTCTGTGAAGGAAATATGTCTAATTCTAAAATGGATTTACATAAATGGTATTACTAAACACTATGGAGGAATAATGAAGCATCAGGCACAGTCTGTAAAATTACTGTTTTCTTTACTGTCATGGTGCAACTGGATCAAAGTATTTAAAAAGGTGTTTTGCAGCATTTGTCCTCTTCTGGAGCCATTGTCATGAAAGCAGTGCTGGTAAAAGTTCTTTTTCATTGTTTAGTCACTTTTTTTCTGCTCATGAGGACTTCTTTCCATCTCGTTCTATTCTTAAACTGGATCCCATTGTTGGTGGTTATTGGCTGGCAGTGGTGGAAAAATGTCAGGGAGCAGCCCAAGGCCAGCACTGACTGCAGGAACAGAGACATCTCAGTGCTGGGATTTACCAGCTCTGCATTCAGCCAGCCAGAACTGGGTGTCTGGGCTGTGTCTTCTGAGGGATACTGACAGGGAGAGACACTCCAAAGGATGAGTCACTCCAAGATACTTTACAGACTGGAGGATGTGTGCTAACCAATTTTTATTGCCATTTACTTATTAATTTTTCAGGGATCAGTGTTTACCACCTTCTCTCTGACTTTTGTGTGGTGCCATTGTGGCATACATTCTCAAGGTCTGATCCATGCTGGGTGGATCATGGGCCTCTGGGAGGCAAAACAGTTTTGTCTGCCTCTCCCAATGCCAGAATGTGGTAAAAGATGTGGCAGAAGCTAATGACTTTTATCTCTTTATGAATTTGACAAAAGGTTACATTATTTTATTAAAATCCCAAAAATACTAAGATGAAACTTTCTATCAGTAACCAGTAAAATGCGAAGAACTTGAAGTCATTAGTTAAGTGATTATTTTTTATTTGGATTTAAGTGATACTGTCTTTATGTTGTAGTTTTGTCTCAGAGACAATAAAAAGAAACCATCCTACTTTTTACAGGAAAGTTTGAGTAAAAGAAGAGAAAATTCAGATGTGGGTGAGTTACAAATTAGTGTAGAACAAAGAAGTATTATTAAACTGGGGTTAGGAGAAGTTATCAGAAGTGGAGATGTTAATTTTTATCAACAAAAATTTTGAAAACCATGTGCATGTTAAGATGGTTTTTAGGGAACAGTAAGTTACAGTGCATTGTAACTGTAACAACTCTAACAATTCACTTACTGTGAACTGGGAGTTGCAGATTACAGCTGCCAAAGGCAGTGATTTGTCCTTGTTTGTATTCGTCACAAAATATTCAGACTTGTAAGAATAAGATGAAAGATCTGAGAGTGTCTTCACTTTCAATAATTTAATCCTTGAATGTAATGATTAATGCTAAATTGTGCATGGACTCTGACACTGGAATAACTGATATCTAAAATTATTAATAATTTCCCTCTTCATTAGGAAATGCTGGAGAAATCAGGGTCAAATCTCAGAAATGCCTAAGTTAATTGTAAACTTTATCTGCTACAAGACAGGTAATAAAATTGATTGCTAATGTATAATATATTTTAAAAAATGGCATCAAAACCAGATGGATAATCCTTGTAGATGTTGTAAGTAGAAATGGAGCCTGCCATAAAATATTAACAACAGAAATAAAATTCTGAATTATATATATCAGGCTTATAAGGCTTAAAGAAATGAAGATGTTCAAAGCAAGAAATCATGTAGCTAGAGGTTCTGCTTCTGTATTTAGTCTGTTAGGACTGATGTATTTTTTTTACCAACTTCTTGCTGCAGCTCATCTTTCAAGCTTAACTCTTTACAGTGTACAATCTTTGTTCATGTTTTGTAGGTGTGAACATTTTCGCTCCATACTCAATAATGATGATGAAATTATAGAAATGAGTGAATTTTCTTATCCTGTTTACCGAGCCTTCCTGGAATATCTGTATACAGACAACATTAGGCTCCCTCCTGAAGATGCAATAGGTATTTGCCATAAATGGAATTACTCCAGATCATTGTTCTTGAAAAGTTCAAACTATGTGTCGTTATAGGGTAAGGAAAGTGGGGCTTGTTGATTTTAGTTTCACTAGCACTTAAATCTCGAGTTTGCCAGGTGTCAGGAAGAAAGGATGCAGTAGCAGGAAATGTGCCCAAGGAGAATGCATGGTGAGCATGCAATGAGATCAAAGGTGAAAAGTTTTCAGAGAGAACTCATTGTTACTCTTATTAAGAACTTTCTTTTATTTAGAAGGGCACTAATGCCATCCTGAAACTTTACCTGCTTGAGCAGCTGTAGTGATTTTTGATCCTGAATGAAAAGGGAGCTCTTCCCTGCATGAATTTAAGAGGATGAAAGTCAGTAATTGGTGTCCAGAATGAGAACAAGAGAACAGAACCCTTGCATAGTAATAAAATTATTCCTTTTCTAAAAGGTCTGTAGGGGACCTTAAAAAATGCACACATCATCTAGGGAAAAAAACAGAGCAAGTCTTTGCCTAATTCAGACTAAAACAAAAGGGCGATTGATTAATTTGAAAAGACACTAATATATTTTGCACCATAATAGTTAAAGCTGTATAAATTTTCACAGGGCTGCTAGATTTGGCAACACTGTATAGAGAAAACAGACTGAAAAAGCTTTGCCAGCAAACGATCAAACAAGGGATTTGTGAAGAGAATGCTATTGCTCTTCTTTCTGCCGCAGTCAAGTACGAAGCTCAGGTAAGAACTTCTCTTCAGGTAAGCAGTTGTTTTCTGAGAAATGAAGCTGCCTAATGTAAACATGACTGTATTTAACTGATGAGGCATGATTACTGTAATTTCCCTTTCTGGCTTAACAAATGTTTGTTTTCCCCGTTTTAGGCTGTAAAAACACCTCAATTTAGTGTTTTCTTCCTGCCCTTTTGGCTTGCTTCTGGGAGTCAAATCTTAATCTGCTTCCTTCCTTGTCACATGGCATAGCAGGGGATGGCATGCAAATTTCTCATTGCCATCTCTGCCTTTGGATTTTGCCCTTTCACTCCCTAAGTTCTCCACCTGTTCATTTTGTCTGTTAGTGTCTGGTACAGTCATTCTGGTGTTTTTACAGGCAGTGGGAGAATTTACCGGTAAAATCCCTGCATATTTACACTTGTGCTTTTATTTAAAAAAACCACTTTTGCAGTACTGTTTACAATGAATTATGCTGACATACAACAAATTACCTATTGTTAATAGTCCCCCCATATCCTGTCATCTGGTCTGCCCTTGGTTCTTGAATGAGTCACTAGCACTCAACCTGTTATCCATGCATTTTTGGTAAACACTTTCAAAGATATTTCCCTTTTCTCATCTTCTTAGTGCTGTCATGATTGTGGAAATAACTGTGTGGTGGGTTTTATTATTCAAAAAGTCTGCTTATGTATTTAAGATGCAGGGGACGTTGCTATAAATACCTTTCAGGTATGGGAGGCAAGTAGAAGAGAGTGAAACTAACACTGAGTTAAAAAAATTGCGTCAGTACTGAATGGAGACAGGAAGCTACAGGAGATGAATTTGTGTAGGAGCTGCAAAGAGGAGGCTGGAAGTCAGTGAGTTCTGTTCACTGAAAGGGGATAACAAGAGGTTAGTAGATAGTAAGATCACAAGCTGCCAGGCATTTGTAACCCAGGTATGAGGAACAGAGGACATGGATGGGTGGGGCAAAGAGGAGTTGTGCTTTCACTGTTCTGGGCTGATACAAGCTCAGCATAGCAGGGAAAACTCTACATAACCCTTGAAGAGTTTATGGATCAATTCTGACTTCCTTGCTGCTGGCTCCAGCTCTAGGTACAGAAGGTAATTAATTTTTCATCACAGCAAGTTGTTGCATAGGTCCCAAATAAAGGAGACTGAGCCAGTGCATGGAGAGAAGGATTGCCACTGTTGTGAGGAGTTTAAGAATTTGCTGTGTGCAGTCCTGGTTGATGTCTTGTACCCATCCAGTGCTGGAGAGCTGAGTATCCTCTTACAGTGAGACCAGGACAAGACAGAACCTTTTGTGCTATCTGGGAATCCCATTATACAATTGCTAGGTTTGCCATGAAAGACACATGTATCCTAACATGCAGTTTGTGATCAGCAAGCATCATCACGCTTTGCACTGTATTTTGCTTTTATTTCCAGCATGACTAGCATATCTGCTGTTTTTCCCAGGACCACTCACAAATGCAGTGCAGGGAGGACAAGAAAGGAGTTATTGATGATCTAGTAGTTCTGTTTGGGGAGATTTGATGGCTTCACGTGTTGGTAACTTTCCTAATGAATGTGTAGTAAATTCTAGTAGATGTGATAGGAGTTCCAGAGTTGGTCTAGATGGCTACTCCTGTTTTCTCAAAGGGGGTTTATTGAATAGGTTGTATGAAGAAATTTCATCCTATCATTTGTGATCTCATCAAAAGAATCAGAAAAGGGATTGATAATGGGAACAATCTGGTATGTGCTCTGCTAATTAAATTAGATTGAAACAGATTTGAAACAAAAGGATAATGTTAATAATTTTATCATTCATATTACAAATTACTCAAATTTGTTCCTAGGACTTGGAAGAATTTTGCTTCAGATTTTGCATAAACCATTTGACTGTTGTTACACAAACTCAAGGCTTTGCAGACATGGACCATGACCTTCTGAAAAATTTCATTAGCAAAGCCAGCAGAGTTGGAGCATTCCGAAACTGAGGCCTGACTACTATCAAGCTGAAGAGCACGTCCTTTTCCCTTCTGGAAATAATTTTCCTTCAGAGAGCTTCTCTGTGATCACAAACAGTGGTTTGGAAGGAAAGTCTCGGTGTCCATCAGCTTAGGGAGTGTGTAGAAGTCCACTAACATGTAGGCTTTTTTGTAAGGATGGCTACAGTGTAGATGTGTGGTGATTGTTCATTGCCAACAGCCAGAATTTAACACAAAAATCTAATGTAGTAACTAACCTTTCCCACTCAAACAAACAAACTAAACTTGTCATTATCTAGTCTGTCTTCTTTTTTTTTTTTTTAACAGTCTGTGTTTGGATTTTATGGGACAGTGACCTGTTTGCTGCTAAAACTTTCATAGTGTACTTTTGTTTCAAAACTCAGTTAATACGGCTTTGCGGGCTTCTTTTTATAATCCAGTGAAGATACTTGTTTTTCTGGACATATGGTAAAATAATGTAAGTCCTTTATGATGAGAGGTTTTCTGATTTGTAGGAGGATTTGTCTCACTTGGTGTTTATTTGGAGTTAATTTATGAGGTGCTTCAGCAGGATATTACAGTTTTGAGTTCCCAGCACTTGTCTCATTGTTTAGCCAGAATGAAAAGGATCTCCCTTTCCATTACACCGGGCATAGTCCCTGGCACCCCAATGGAAGCACTCACCAAGTTTGTCTGAATGTGAATTGTCAGACTGTGAGTTTTACTGCTAAGAAAATCACCTAGTTACAAATCCAAACAAGATTTCAAGGAAAGGAAGTTCTGCTTGAGGCTTATTTATTCCTATCTTACTATATCTCCTCAGACAGATGAACTTCAGAAAAATGGAGAAAAAGGTGATTTTGAAGTGATAACTTCAAATTAATTAAATTGTAAGAGTGGACTGACACTATATTCCAGATGGTGAGAAAGGTATCTTGCTCAAATATGGTGTTTCAGATTCTCCTGTGGTCAGAGCTGTGAGGTGCCCACACCACTTTCAGGGCTGTTCAGGGGAGAGGAGCTGCCCTTTGGACACACCTCTCTCCCAGCACTGATCATTGGTGGCTAAGGTAGAGTAGGTGCTTCATTCCTAACTGGCTGAAGTGAATTAAGGTGAAAACCCCACCTCTGCTGCACAGTGGGAAGTTTGCCCCATTACATAAGATGTGGAGCTCATGGAGCATTTACTTGAGTTTTCTAACAGGTAACTGTGAATTAACCCTGAGAATTTAAGTTTCTGACCGAGTGAAGTGACTTCAAGTGCCTTTTGCAGTATTTTACAAATGAGGAAGACAAAAAGCTGGATGACCAGGGTCAGTACACTAATTATAAAAGTAGTCATGCAATGTTCCTGCAGGTCCCTGCTGTGCCACGGCATCCTTCAATGACCTTTTCTAATCATCAAATGTGGTTCTAAGAACTTAGTTCCCTTACATTATCACATCTTCATGTCTAAGCTGGAAATAGCTGTTCATATTGGAGGCTCATTTCTCAAACAATCCTGTTCTTTAAGGAAAAGTAGGAGGAAAAAGAGAAAAGGAGAAGTGAGTTTCCCTTCACCCCAGGCCTTGTGGGTGTGAGCGGAAAGTGAAGCAGGCAGGTAGTAGAATTTACTTAGGAAGATGGTGATGAGAAAATATTTTAGAAACTACTGTGGTAAATATTTACACATCTTTGAGACATTTGCCTCAACCTCTCGCTAGAAATATGCTGGATCATCTACTGCTACCACGTACAGTCTGCCACCTCCTCAGAGATGACTACGACTTCCTTCAGCAGTGTCGAGTCCATTCTTAGCAGCGGTGTCAGTGTTTTGTAGTCAAACAGAAGTGGTCAGAACCTTTCCAATACATAATGCAGAGTCATCAAAAACAGCACTTTGCTGGAGGAGATCGGTTTTGGTTTGTGTTGAGAAGCACTTGACACCAGCAGAGAGAACTAGTGTTATGGTAGGGCTCAGCTTTACTGCCAACCTTGTGTGCTCTAGCCCAGCACTGATCATACCAAAGTGTGGACAAGGGATTCCATGTAAGCCAAGGCTGCATATCCCTGGTTAATATCCCTAAGATGCCAGATTCAGCTGCCAGCATTCCCTGAGGGTAGCAGTGCACGGAACGAGGGCGTAGGACCACATCCCTGCCTTGGGGCAGCAGCTGGCACCAGCCCCTGTCCCACCCACCCCGATGGCATCACACTGGCACACATCCAGTCTCTCTGGGAAATGGAACCAGCAGGGCACCTCCACCCCTGGTACTGGCTTGTCAGCACCAGCTTTCCTCAGGTGGGTACTATGAAAGGTCTCTCCACACATTTGTGTTGTTTTACTCAGAAGAATCAAACAGAAAACTATAAATGTGAAACGATGGGGGGTTTTTGACTCAGTATCTCATCAGAAACTTTCTCTGGTTCTCTGAGGATGCTACTGCATGGAATGATAGCACTGGAGAGGGACACCACTCTCCCCCATTAGCTCAAATTCATAACCAAGTAGTTGAACAGAGATGGCAGCTGAAATGGCATGCTGCTTGCAGCAAGACATTTTTGGCTTAATAGAACGAAGCATCTTTTTTTTTTTTTTCCAATTTACTTCCACCCTGCTCCTTACTTCCAATCAACCATACACATTAAAGCCTACTTGCAATTTCAGAATAAGTGACAAAGCCTGTAATTTTGAGAAAAAGCATCTCTGGACTGAATGAGGGTGATTCTAAAGGTCTGATGTGTCAGTGTTGGCTTTTATTCTGTATCATCTGACCTAGATGTGATAGTGTTACATTCATAGAAACATTTATTTTTTAAATTTTTTTAATTTTTGTTGCATGTATTAAAAAAAAAAATCTTTACTGGCTTAGGTGGTTAAATGTGGGTACATGGATGTAAATGTGTGCTTGAAAAACCAACCATGGGACATTTTAGAAAAAAATTAGGGACGCATTTTACTGTTGTGAGATAGTCTGCAACAGCCTTGCGTTTGTGGATGTTGCAGGTTAAATACTTATTAAAGTATTATCCTGTTTAAGGATACCACAGACAAAAGGTATTTATTAAAAACTAAAAATTTGATCAAGCAAAAACTTTGTCTGGGGTTTAAATAAAGAGCAATGTTCCACTTTCCAGAAAGGAATCTGGAAAGAAAAACAAATTACAGGGGTAGGGTCATTTTAAGGTTCTCCTAAGTTACTGAAGCTAAAAGCCAGCACAGCATTGTCATCTAGTACCCACCAGTAGAGTTGTTACAATGCTTGGTAACTATGTAAACTGCTGTTTTAATATGACCTAAACACTTTCCATGGGCTTTCCTTGTAAAACAAAGCATTCATTTGCCCCATAGAGGCAGGATTCAGTGGCCACCACCTAATGCTGTAGAAAGTTTACAGCCTGAAAATAAATTATTTTTTTTGTTTCTATACAAACTTACCTGGTTTAATAGACCATTAATAAAAATGCCATAATATTTAAAACAATTTGAGTGGGATTTTTCTCCTTTCTTTTCAGTAACAATGAAGGAAGTTTGATGCTTGTAGACTGAAGAGACTGGGGAGGGGCAGGGAGTAAACCAGATAGTTCACAGAGTGCCATGAAGGCTATTTATGTAAGTTCTTCAGGAAATCACTGTCACCAGGTAACACACTTGTAACCTGGAGAATTTCTTGAAGGCTATTTCCACCTTTCAAAGAAATCAGTAGCCTGGTGGCTTAATAAACTGTGATTAATAAAATAGTCCTCAGAACACCAATCATTGTTTCTTAAGCAAATGTATATTATGGCCAGCTTGTTACATTTTAAAATATTTCAGCTTGTACTGTGCTCTGGTATCACACAGCCATAATCCTCTCCAGCTGCTTTACATTTGATACAGGTGTCTTCCTGCAGCCACTCCTGTGCCTGAAGATGTGCCCTTTCACATCCCCTCTGGCTGTTCTGGTGCCTGTGAGGAACTTGCTGTTTGGTACAGCCCCTCTGCACAAACACTGCCTCAGCACAAAGCTCTTCACTTGCAAGTCCATAGGAAGGGAGGAGGAAATAAGCTCCTATGACAAGTAAGAACAAACAGCATTGGGAAACAGTGGACAGCAGGAAGAGATTAAGGTATAAAATATCAAATGAAGAGGCTGGGAGTCAGCTCCTTCATCAGATGGCTACCCAGCCAAGCCAATAGATTCAATTCCTTTAAGCACTAATGGACAGAAATGGGCCTTTAAAGGATGCAATTTACCTGACCTCATCTTACACCCAGGGCTTCAGCTTTCTACAGAAATTGATGCTTGGTGTTAAGCACCTAAAATGGCCATCACATTTTGTGCCCAGCTTCTGCTGTGACTCCAGATTTTCTTTTTTCCTGGAGCAGTTTCAATATTCCATTTTTAGTACAGCAAGGTCTCACTCTAAGAAAAGTGCTGTCAATCACAGTAAGATTTCCATATCTAATAAAAATCCATTAGTTTCAATACATATTTATTTGGATAGGTACCATATGAAATCACCTAATACAAGAAAATCACTGACTATAAATCATTTAAAAGCTATTTTATTTATCTTGAAAGGCGAGAAACTGATTAGTTGTATAAAATAGTGTACATTTGATGTAAAGCCTTCAGTCTGTTTGAACAAAAAAAAAATACATTGTCACAGTAAAGAAAGAATGAATCTGTTTAGATACTGGACTCTGTATCATCCCTCTAGCCAAAGGACTGCTGTAACAGAGCTTACAGTCAGTGCACCAATGTTAACATATATCCTGTCTGTAAAACTGCAAAAAAGTGAGAAAATAAACATAAGGTACTCTGGAAAGTTCTGTACATTTTTCAGTAAGAAAGTTGAAGCCATACTGAGTCTAAAAAAACCCCTCAATATTATCTTAAAATTAATTTACAGTTTTTGCTGCTCATAGAAGTTTTAGTAGTTCTAGGGTTAGCTTTGAATCAACACAAGAATGGATCTTTTAAAAACTTCCTACTGTAAGTACTCCAGGATCAGCTAAACAATCTGTAAATAAGCTACCTGGAAGACATTGGTTTAAAATGTTTGTGTCATGAATAGCATGCTTTTCTACTGTACCTGTTCTTAATTTAAGTAGCTGCAAAAGCTAAATTTCCTAAAAATGGGTAATTTTAAAGCAAGACAATTAATTTGCTTATGTTTTAATCCACTGGAAATAAAACATGTGCTTCTGTTAACTGGCTATTTTAACAAAATTTTGTTGCCAGAAAAATTCTAGTATCTGAATGATTAACTTACAAATAGAAAAGAAGGAAAAAAGTATTGAATGGTTTTGTTTTGTTTGGGTTTTTTGCCAGTAGCAACCATTCACAAGTTGCCCAATTCACTGCCTTTTCAGTAAAGGCAGATGGATTTTTTCAACGTGGGTTCACCACGTTCAGGTTTTTGCAGATGCTGCAGTAAGGCAAATGGGAGATGCCCTGGACTTTCAGAGACCAGGCTGCTCCTACCTGAAACCCAGCTGGAGACACTCAGCTTCCAGCTGTTTCTCAAGCTGTTTGGCTTGGCTACAAGCCAAATTTGAAGGTGAAAATTTGAAGAAATCAAGAAAATACTATATCATTAGGATTTTGAAATCTTGTGTGTACCAGGTATGGTTTAGGTTTGTTGTTCTGTTTGTTTTTTTTCTTTTACTACTTGAGATTTCCCAAGATAAGAAAGGGCACATCAATTACTCGGCATATGGGAAGAAGCTTCAGCTTCTGGGAAGATTCAATTTGGGATTTTGGGATGCATCTCTATGGGATTCATACTCCATGAAATTCAAACTGAGGGACAGTGTAACTGCCCTCCAAAAATGACATTGAGGTGAGAGCTGGGGAAGCAAAACTACAAAATGCCAAGTGTTGGTTTCAGTAGTAAGGCCACAAAGTGAGTTCACTTTGAATTCACGTTGTACTCCTGAGGTGAGACCCCTTCTCTGTAAGGCCCCCAGCTGCTGTCCAGATTAATTTATTGGGAATTTGATGTGCTAATTATGAACAGAGACAAAAATCTTTGCAGTGACTGGCCCACAATTTTCAAAATTTGCAAGTAATGAAAATCTAAAAATCATATCTAAGAAACAAAATTAGTGCATTTCAAATCATTCTAGCTAACATTCCATCTTTAGATATAACAAATTCAATCCAACGAGACTGAACTGGCTTAAATCAGTAATGCTGCAACAGGAAATTCAGACACTTTCCAAGACTTTTAAAAAATCCTCAAAAAATATATAAATTAAATTCAGTGGCTTACATTGTATATATGCTACATCATAAGGCAAAGTATCACGGAAAACACTTAACAATTTAAAAAGTACAAATGCTTTCAACTAGCAGTTTGGAGTAAAAAGCAACTAAAAAGGCAACTCTATTAATGAAGGCTGTAAAACAAAAACAATCTTAAGAGGGCTGGGAGGTGCAGCCCCTGGTCCTGAGAATCTCACTTTTCTTCACTGGCTGAGGTATCATTTCCATCATTCAGCTTCTGCTTTTGCATTCTTGTTCGAGTAGATGCTGCAAGAAAACCCAACAAACAAAAAGAATGAAAGATTTTCTTCATAATTACTTTGGACTGATTATTGGAAAAATTTGTGATGACACAAGGAATAGAAGTACATTATTCTGTTGTAAACAAACCGAATCCCTCATTATAGGATGGACACCTAATTTTGCACTGTTTCAGCCATTCTTGCTCAACCTTACACATCTTATGAAATTCTTTCCACCTGTTCATTCCAGTTCTCATTGTCTCTGTCCCCTCACTGTGTCAATTTCCATCCTCCGGACGGGCAGATGGTCTGTGTCACATCGGGAATCTCGCCTTGTAGCCAGGCCTGCCCAGGAATGCCTTTTCCTCTCAGTGGCACACACCAACACCACTGGGCATGAGACTGAGCTCTCCTTCTTAAACTTCTTAAACTCTGCCATAAGTAAACACTGAATCATTTTCCCTGCCTTAAAATAAAGGACAGGTGCCTGGATCCACACTCACACCTATCTTGGTAAGCAGTGTAAGAGTTCTTAATGGGCAAATCTGCTCAGCTGCAGAGCTCAGATTCTCAGAGTGAGAATGCCTGTCCAGGCCAAATGTGCTCCTTCTCATGAGTAGAAAATACAACTGAGATGTGGGGCTGGGGCTGTTTTGCTTTTCATGAGCTAGATTTGAATTTCATTTCAAAACAGAAAAGTGATCCCCATAAGATCTGAAAGAAATGCTGACCCACAGTAGAAGAAAAAGCAGTCTCAGACATTTCCCTATAAAAGCAAAGCAAAAAAAACCCCTACACATGGTTTTCCTGTGTACATAAATTTCCATTTTGTAATCTCCATTTCCAAGATTATATGCAGCAAGTACAAAAACTAAGAAAAATACCCAAATCACATTGGTGTTGAACAATGCTTTCATCTAAGTGGGCCCCAACGCTCTTATCCAATGCACTCAGTGCTCTACAGATTATAAGAAAAGTAATACTCACTCATTTCTGCAAGCTTTTGTTGGAATTTTGACTCCTGGGGTAGGTGTTTGCTACAGAAAGAAAGCACAAGTTTAAGTTAATAAAATTAACTATTTACCTTCATAACCTAAATTTTAAATCAAGGAGGGGGTCTCTTTTTTACATCAAAGCATGTAACTGAGGAGCTTCATGCTTCCATCTCTCATTCAGTAGAGCTGCTAAAGCTCCCAAGTTAACACAAGATATGATTATCAGGAAGAAGTTAGGATGAAGGTCCCGAGACCCAATATATGCAAGATCTCTGAAAAGCCCAGGACAATCTCTCACCTTCCATCTGCCTCGTCCTGCCCCTCTATGTCGAAGCGCAGCCTCTTCAGCGGCTTCGGGGCAGCAGCACCTACTTCTGCACTGCGCTTCAGCTGGCACTCACTGTTGCACAACATCTGGTTTATTTTTTGAAACTTTTCAGAAGTCTGAAGTGACAAGAAAATAGGGAAAGAATTGCCAATAAATCCTGAAACCGCTCCAACTTTCCACATTATCAGCAAAAAATTAGGAGTTCTAAAACTCTGGAGTTTTAAGAGCCCTAATCTTGTGCCAAAGCAACTAAAATAAAATGCAACACATTTTGAAGGTGAAGTCTGCATATATGGAAAGGAGCTAACAGAACTTCCCCTACATTAAATTCTACTATATTAAATCAGATACACTCATTGGCCTGCTCTAGAGATGGGAGCAGGCTATCCCATTCCCCCAAAAGTTACATGCATTTAAGAACAGACATCAAAGATGCTAAAACTCACCCCAAATGATTCTCCAATTGACACCAAAATTCTGTCAAATGAAGAAGAGAAGTTTAAGCTACATTTAACAATGACAGAAGCACTGACTACTTTGCAGAGGTTAGCACAAGGCATTTAGAAGGTCTCTTCTCCCTCTCTCTCTCTCTCTCTGTGCTAGCAGTGCAAATCCATACTGTGCTTTACTGGGTTGAGACATTTCTCATTGAGCCAGTGAATGCTC